ATCGAGAGTACGCATATCAGTTGTGTGTTTGTCGGATGCAGGGTGCTTTGGTCGCAACCAAGCATCGATCATCTCACGAACCGCGCTGTGATCCTGTCAGCTGACAATCCACTCGATTGTTGCTCCGCCGACTTAATGAAACTAATTAGTCACATTCGTGCCGGCAGAGGCACGAACGTTCGATCATCGTACAATGCTGCTTGTATCGAGCCTCGAAGGTGCTCTCGATAACGTTGCTCTCTGCGGATGTCCGATTGCGAACACTCGGAATAACGCGTCGTTAACGTGTCTAGAAGGATAATAGCGCCATGGGGAGGAGTTTCTGTACCTGATTGCTCGGCCGTTACCTCTGCCCCTAAAGGAAATTCAACGTATGAGAGCTCGATGCGTATAATACCCACTTCAAACCCATTTGCATATAGACTGGTCGAAGTAGAATGAGTTTTATAGGCGACGGTAGATGGTTATGGAGATCCTTGCCAAAGTGGAAATTCTATGATTTTTCAGGTGCCTGTAGAGGAATGTGGATATAAGAGTGTGGAAACTTGTCTGCCTTGTCGTATAACAATAATAAATTAAAAGCAATCATAAAAAAAGAGCGAAAAGTATTCAATTTGTATGAAATATTCGACAAATGTCTGAAATACTTATAATTGTCGGTATCACTATAGAGTATAGAGGAATTGATTCGTAATTGAATGTCTTTGGACGTTTAATACATTCGCTCTACAAAATAGAGATTAAATGCAAAACGTTTGAGTACGTCGATATATCGCCGAGTGTTGGAGTGTGGTTCGTGAAGGATATTGACATTTTTTAACCTGCGGACCATATGGGTGTAAAAGGAAAGGGACAAAAAGAGGAACGGTCAGTTACAGAGCGTCGATCGATTTATTGCATCGTTTTACCAGTTATTTCAGTTATTTTTCATATCTTCGCTTCCATTCAAAGTTATCTTAATTTTCAGTATTTTACAATATAATTCGTCTTTCGATATTACGTATTTTTATTTCTTCTAACTTTTACTTTTGTCTTAGTGTTATAGAATAGGATTATACCGTCGTAGGACAGAATTGCTTATTAATAAATTCAATTTAAATGCAAGATGAATTCAACAGAGTATGGAAACTTATTTTTCTTCTGAATGCCAAACGTTAATGAAATATCTTCGAATTTCGAATACATTTAGTTCAGAATTTAAAAGAGTACGTAGTTCAATAACCTCGTTATCTCGAAACTGGTGACTCCTTTCCGTCTCAGGTGCTGGTTATATACACGAGTCAATGAAATTAATTACAGTCGACGCCTGCGCGACCTAAGCCGAATCTCGCAGCCGCTTATTTACCCTTGCGAATGATGCTCGACATTCGACTGCGTCGTACGGTTAGGCCGATATAGCGGCCGCGTTATTTACGAACTCGACAATTAGCGAGGCATTCGAGAGGCCGCCAGAAGGAGGGTTAATGAAATTAATCGGTCACGTAGCACAGGCCACGACAAAAGATCGCCGGCTGCTTCGTTAGCGGCCCTGGATGTAATTATCGGCTCTTGTATTCATCTTGATGAGATGTACCGATCAACGAGGATATTGTGAAACGAAGGTGATAATCAAAGCAAAGCCATTCTTAAAGCTCGAGGAAAAACAACAACGATGGTACCGTTGTTACTTATCGAGAGTAGAACAAATTTCGAATGTTGGTCGTTTTATTGTTCGCGTTGTCTCGCAAGACGAAGTGTCTCCAAGAGTAATTAAGTCGACGAGTCTGGCTCTGAAACGAGAACCTTTCAGGCGTTTCCCTGATGACCGGCAATTGAATTGATTAAGTGTCTACAAAGCTCGAGATCTCTTCCGGCGTCAAGGATATATCCCTTGGCGTAGCTCTGCTTGTTATCTTATTTTCTCTTACATCGGTGTCATTCTGTTTATCGCGGCGCAGTTTCATCATTCTCTCTCCAATCTTATCGAACGGAGTAATTTCTAGGAAGACCAACAAACATTTCGCGGACAAATTGGATTTGCGTGGTCGCGATGAGTGAGTCAGACACCCGAGTCGTCCGAGTGTCTGCTAAGGAACAGCTGCGAACCAAAATCATCCAGGACTTCTTTTCCATTCTCATTAGTGTTCGGGTACACTTTCCAGTTCTCACCAACCCAGACCTCCATTTCCTTCTCTAAAATCCTTTCCCTTCGATTCCCACGTTTCTAAGAAGAAATCACCCTCGAAATCCCTTCGGAGTGGATCGGACTAAACGCATTAATTCCAAGAAATTCAATCCGTATTAAACCATTCATCCTTCGAGCTCTTCCTGGTTACGATGATAAATGAAAGAGTAACCGCTCGGCAGAGGGTCCTTCTTTCTTCCCGATGAGCCTACGCTGCGGCTCATCAGTCTCCAGGCCACCAGGACTTAACGGGTTAGCAACAAACGGTTCGCCGTTAAAAACCCTCTTCACCGTTGATCGTCGCCAGGCCAACTAATGAAACCCGTCGATCACGTTCGGTGACACGTGCACGAAGGTCACGACCACCTTTTCCATCGAGCCACACAGATAGTTGTCTTTCTCTGTTGCCTCATAGCGAGACACCAGGACGCTCGTGGACGAGAGAGCAGCGCCTGTGTGTTCGCAGATAAGGCAGAAACACTGGAATTGTATATATCGATCCTCGGTTTCGATAAGATACGAGAACCCTACAGCCTTGGGCTCGGGTTCACGAGCTGCTGCTCACGGGAACAATTTTGGCCGGGACGAAGGAGTGCGACAGCAAGGAATAAAAGGGATAGGAATAGAGAGAAAGAGAGAGAGAAAGAGAGAGCGAGATGGTTTTGTTCTCTTCTCTTTACGGCATCGATCGTTCGGAACCGTCCTTTGCCCAGGAAGAGTAGGAACCTGGTAATGAAGGAAACCGTTCCTTCCTCGCCTCTACTAACGCGGATCAAAAGTTTCACCGATGCATGAACCACGCTCGTCGTTCGTGGTTCTCGACGAATAGCTATAGTTGCTCACGAAAGTATCCGAACACGTACAGCAACTTTCAGGAATGTATGTTACGTGCCTTATATGAGAGATTTTAAAATTTCATTAGTAGAGCATAATGAGACGCGACTGTTTGATTATACTATTGATTATATTAGTCAAATTTGAAACTAAATTCGATATACTAGATATATCACTAACATTATAATGAAATCTAACTATCGTGATTATATCGGTCAAATTTGAAATTTGAAATTTGAAATTTCGTCTCCAGTTTACCCAACCAATATAGCCACGGTGATTGAGTGTCATTAGAGTCTAACGATACGTTATAACGATATAACGTGAAATTTGTTTTCAGATTCGACCACTATGTAATTTCGAAATGTTTTACACAATAAAATTTTTTTATATGCACAAAAGTTCTCTATGACAAGTAATCTTTACACCTTTTACCGTAAATGAATTACGAACATTCAAACTGTAAAATATCCTCTTTTTTTCACCTTCTCTCACAGCCTCTTGTCTCGTGAATATTATGCCATGGTGTAGAAAAGAACAAGAAAAGAGACCCCTACTTTTGCACGAAGAATAGGACAGTTTTCCATTTTAATTTCTTCGCGGAAGAAATCTCGTTTTCGAAAACTTATTTCACAATTTCGTCGTCTTTCCGTTCCAGGGACGCCGGGACGTGCATACAGCGGGAAAGTATTGCGTTCACGTTTCTTCCTTCTCAACACGTGTAGCCGAAACTTTCAGACGTCATTGTATCTTTTCCATCTTCCCTCATCCCTATTCCCTGCCTGTCTCCCGCCACCCTTTTGTCGCTTCGTCTTTCTGTCATCTATCCATCCACCAACCCCGAACCGAATTCATCTCGCGGATTCATCTCGCAAACTTTCAACCTTCGTCGCCCGACCCCTTCCTCGAATCGCGAAATTTTCTTTTCCTGCGACACCTGCAACTATTTTTCTACCGAGTAACTTTCGCAGGTCGAGAGATTCAAATCTCGAGAATCCTCGCGGCTATTACTGGTTCCTCGCGTCTTATAGGGAGCGATAGGAAAATTTCGAGTCAGTTACGATTTATCAGGGGTTCACGTAGTGAGCAATGAAATTGTGAACGACTTCGAGAGACCCAGCGTCTTATCGCCTGGATTGACTCCACTATGCGAATTAATACGAGAAATTACGTCTAGAAGAGTCATCGACTTCTCGAGGGTAATTTATACAGATTGTTCTTCTTGTTACGATGAATTCAGGCACATTGACGTAAGAAAATATTGAGTAATAAAATTTAGAAGAGATCAGTAGTTAACTGACAGAGAAGTCTAATACTAACTTTGAAAATATGTTGAATTTATAGTTAGGATAGCTTAAAAGCACCAACCGGCTAGTCGTTCAACGCAAGAGGTTATGCTTTTTAGACGGAATTCTTTCTCTTCTGCGGAATGGAACAAAACGAAAAAGTTGGTTCAATTTAATCGTAACAAGGCTCTGGTCGGGAACTCGATTTAGCCGGAAGCGGAGTCGTTTAGGAAGAATGCGGGACAAGTAAAGAAACGGAGGATCGACTTACATCGTTGCTATAAAATACATTTCATCCACGGCGGGCTCGCTATAGCGTCTACTACAGCAAAGATCAAAGGTCAAATCGATTTGACGAATTTGTGACGCAAACGAAGCGAAGGGCTGCTGACGCACGCTCCCAGCATCGGAGGTTGCAGTTTTTTGAAATTGCACATACGTACATTAAACCAGCGCCACTTCGCTCGAGCAGCCCGAGCTTCGAAACACCAAAGAACTAATCACTCAACAACTTTCCCCCACTACCACCAATCGCAATACTATCGACCGACCTAAATCGAATAACCCAATCCAACCCCTAAAAGAAAATCCACTTTTTCCATCTCGTGACACGAAAGACGAATTCGTCTCGCGGCTCCTGACACGCTTAACGCGCATCACAAAAGACACCGTAATCCATTCGGGAGCTTCAAGCTTGCCATTACCTAAATTTCCAGGAAAATCGAGACTTGGCCAGTGAGGCGAGATGAGACTCGATTGTCTGGTCCAAGGTGCGCGGATTGGACGACTTTCTCCGATAGTTCGAACAGTACCGGTACCAGGAAATCGCCTCAGGAGTGGAAAGGAAACCACCGAGCGGATACCATTGGAGGAGCAGGAGGTGACGAGACCGAAATCGGCGACGGTGGAACCATGAAGCTGGCGCGTGACTCTTGAACCGTGCGTGAAAACTACGAGATAAGGTTAGTTCTGCTGGTTCACGATTCGACACCTCTATCGGAAAATATTCTTAGCACGTAACAGCTGAAGACCGTAGTTGGCCAGTTTATGGCTGTTTCGCGGCCCGGGAAACCCCGCAAGCTTTTCATTTGCTCGCTGACGTCCGGGGGAACGCTGCATCGTCGAGTGACTCGAGAATTGGGCGCCTTATTGATTTTGTTATTGAGATTGGCGAGATAGGCAAATATTTTCTGACGTGTAGTTTTGATACATTTATTATATGTGTTTATATGGTGCAGATTTGTTTCAACGCGGAATCGCGTTTCTGTTATTGAGAGAGTAGGAATAATTAAAACGATTAAGATGCAATTCAAAAGTGAATATTCAAGTAGTCTTTACACGGGCTCAACTTGACAAAAAATCGGTTCGTTGATTTTATTTTTAGAGATTAATTTTACATTTTACATTTTCATTCTGCATTTTATACGGCGCACAGTTGTTAGGAATTATCGTAGTTCACGGAGTTAAGCTTGTCATATGATTTTTGAAGATTCATACTTTGTGGAATTTACTGAAAGAGGAAGTTCTCGGTTTTAATGTTTAAAGTGATTTCCAGGGATTGAAATTTTTGTTACAAAAAGAAGATTAAGCGAATTGATACGGCGAGATCAGATATTTTATATTTATGTTACTATCTAAAACAAATATCATTATTGCCTTTATTTACTGGATATTTTCTGGCCATATATATATTCCGCATTTTATATAATATGAATTTGTTTCAAAAATAAACATTCGAATATTCTGTTTACACTGATTGAATTAAAGAAAATTTACTATAACCATCGTAGAATCTGTTGCAGTTCCAAACAAAATTTTATTCGACACGCGTGACAAAGTCGACTATAGAATGTTATTCGCTAACGGAATACCGCGCGATCCTCCGTCTCACTAGCGCATATCGTTTTCATTTCGCGACAGGCGGAAAGCGGCACGGCGTCGGCCGGTTGGAAAGCTGCAATTTCGTCGCAGCGCCTCAAGAAAAAGAGACGAGAGAGGAAAACGAACAAGATACGAGTCTGAGCCGCGCTTATGGCACGTCTGCGGCGAGCCAAGATTGCGTTTTCCGGCTGTGAAAATTTCCAGAAACCCACAACAAAACCCCGACACCCTGTGAAAGAGGATCAGCTTGGAAGGTTTAGCTAATATTAAATTATAATTTACCACTGCAACCAGATATATTAACTATTATTTCGTAACGTCGATTTTATCCTATTTGCATATTACACGGTATTAATTACTGTTGCAAATATGGTAGTTGTCGTACCGTGGAATCGTACTAACCGATATGTATTATTTTGCTCTACGAACACCAGCATTGCAAGTTTGCTCGGTAAATGTACAACTTCGGGGTCATTCATTTTGCGCTGAGTTCCTAACTCCTGTCTTTCGGCTTTTTGTAAGCGGTTAGTATAGGTCGCGTAGGTGATGTGTCAAGATTAATATCGCAGGATTTTAGACCAACATATGGCAAACGTGTTTTCTGCCATCTCGTTTAAAGGCCAACTTTTCTAGAGCTATCCAATTTTAGTCGTTGAAATGGTCTTGGTGGATTAAGAGTACGTCGGAACACGGTGGAGTAATCTCGCGTTACTTCAGGACCGATTCCCTGCAAATTTAACTCTTAACTCTCGTCTTAGAGACATGTGCAGCGTATAATAAAGTTTTTAGTACTATATTAGTACTATAGTTAGTACATTTAATATTAGTAGTAGTATACGTATAATCAAGAAAATCAAAAAGAAAGTAGACAAAATATTACGAAATTGTAAATATTAAATTCAATGTTAAAGGTTGATAGCGGAGATAACTTGGGACAAATAACATCGTTTTAGGACAAAATTATCCAGCTTTTCCGATATCTTTCACTGTCCTTAATACACGAGAAATAAAACTCTGTATTGTTTCATCTCCTAAATTCGTTTTATAGCATCAACGAAAAATGGCTTTCTGTTACAAATCACCTACCAGCCACATTTGCGCACAAATTTTCATAACTTTCGAATCTCCAAGTTCTCTAACTTGTCAGTTGGTCCAGTATAAGGGTTACACCATTTCACTCTCAATGCCTCATATATTCTTGAAATTTTGATAGAGCCAGGGTAGTAATTCCAACTTTCCTCCAGATTTTGGACTTTTCCTCACTCACTCGAAAGATTCTCAAACTGTTGAAAAGGACTAGTCGGTGAAGGGAGCGCTGTACATCTTTTTACGAGCGACAGCGACGAGAAACATGGCGCCAATTAAGGGAGACAAAAATTTATTCTTCCGCCGGGCGAGCTCCTTAATGAGTTCCTTTCGAAAGAAGGGCGAATAAGGCCGATTCGAGCCGCTTTAATCGCGGTCGAATTACCGTTATCCCGCGGTTCTCGTTGTTAATCGTAGTTTCATGCGACGGTATTTCGCGCCGCTTAACGCGGTTATAATTCGTCGGGTCGAAATTAGTCCGTGGAGCGCGAGCCGTAGAAATTCGCGGGCGATTTGTCTGCGTTAACGCGGCCAAGCGTCCTATCTCGATTTATCCTCGTGTCCGAAGGAATTTTGCGGACCATCTCGTTTAGTCGCGAGCCCCGTTCTTTTCCTGCCCGCGAATCACCGAATTATTTTCGATCCGACCTCTCTACGTCATCCCGTATTTCCAATTCTTTTCGTTTCTCCTCTAACTAGAGAGCGACGCTGTGAAATATTCCTATATTAAGATGAGCGACACAGGGCTTTATTCCTTCATTTGAATAAGGTGCGTGTAAACGAGTCAAGCTATATTTTTACGTGTATATTCCTTAAGGTCGCTGTTCTTCGTTGTAGTTGTTACGGACGGAGGAAAATCTGCGCGACGATAAAGAGGAATATTGCTTCATCTCGACACAAGTACGTAAACCGAGATTCTCGAGCACGCTGTATTTTTCTTCCATGTTCTTAATCTCGTATCGGATTAATAAATAATTTTCACGAATCTCTGGCTAATTTTCTCGTAAGAATCGAGTAAAAATGTAACCGCGACTGTAGTGCAAAGAAAGCGTTAACCAAAATTTCCATCGATAGACGTCGCTTTACTTCCATTAAATATTCGAATAAAGGGAATCGAAGAGAAGCTTGTCTTATTTTTTTTTTCCTTGTCTTAGTTTTTTTCCAGTCTAAAGTTCCAAACGAGGTAACAACTCTTAAAAGTTTTAAGCTTCTAACGAGTTTATCTCGTTTTCAAATCATCGTTCGCGCGTATCAATTTTGACCGATTTCATTCGCCTACAAGGTCTGTTCGGAACATGTTATACGAACAATTATTATATTATAGAATCTATAGAATATTATACGCAACATACTGCTCCAATCGATCGACCGAAATAAACCATCGACCTGGGGCGATCATTACACGGGGGCTAACTTGTCGAAATAATTTCCATTCAAATCAATGAATAATTAACGTACAAGCTTCGAAATGGTACGACGAGAGAGCTTACAGTTCGGTCGCGACATATTTTCCTCGATCGACGAAACACCGCCCGCGGCAAACGTTACGCGGTGACGGAGGTTTAGAGAGAAGGGGTACAGATAGCCAAAAGATTGCTCGACATACCGGGTCAGAGGTTTCAATAACTCGGTCAGAATTCCTTATCTCTCGCTGTGTATGCTTCTTGGTTTCTTTCTTTCGATCTGCTCTCCATACTTTTGCTAAGTATTTCGATAAAGATTCCCGAAGAAAATACTATGCCTGGGTTCCCCATGGAGAACACACCTCTGCTGGAACTTGGGTAAAAACGCGAAACAAAGGAGACGTTTTCGAGGAAGAGCGAGAAGAGCTAAGAGAACGATATTCTTCGAGAGGGATCTAGAGATTCGCCTAAGTGCCGTCTTGTCCCGCGATCAAATGGTGCGTCGCGATCATTCGTCTTCGATGTAACAGGCTGTCACTGGAAATTCAGCGTGCTCCACGGGATCGATAGAACACCCACACTTGTATCTTCATCTTCGCGAAGTGCTTTTTGAATTTTAATTTTCTTATTTATCGCTCGAAGGCGTAATGAATGATAAAAGGTTAGACAATGTGGGAGTGACATTACGATAAGCTAAGTTATTACTTTATTCAATCATTCGACAGTGAAATTGATTAGATATAGAGAATATATGAGTTCAGTTCTTTTTAGAGGAAATATTAATAATTTTAATAATTTTAATTAGTATTAATAATTAAACGAAGATATTTGAGATATGAAATTTGTAGCAGTATATTTCACGGTTTGCCTCAGTTTCTTCCAGACTACCCTTTTCAGACTAAGTAATTAATGCTAGAACTACTGACCTTTAATATGTACATAAATATATTAGAAATTAGAATCAGAGAAACATGAGTAAAATACGTAAGCGTTTCTGTTCCGGTAAAAGTAAACCAATATTTATATTTATATATATTTATTTATATTACCAAGAACGCACGTGCGTGCTTTTTGTAGCTACAGAAATAAAATACCCGATATCGTCACTTCGTAGCTTTAATATTAATTTGTTTAATTTTGTAGAAATATCAATTTGTACCGTATGGTCCCAGATATACAACACGTAAACAGTTACATTTAAAATAATAGAACGAAAGTAAATATCCCCATGTAATTACATTTCTATCTAAATAAAAGTCAACATTAATTTTACTGAAAACACCCGCACGTTTTCAGTAATTAAAAACAAAAAAGAAAAAAAAGAAACAAAAACGCGTGCACATACGCATAGAAATCCTAAAAAAAGCAATATTTCGGTGGGTTTCGTGTAAATAAGAAATATACATCGAAATGCCTGTACTATTTAAAGATCCCGTTTCCATGAACCTCTATCTACGTGTTTCTAAACAAAGAACCATTTTTTTTAGGGAACCTATAACATTACAGTCTACTGGAAATTCAGTGTTTGAACAAGCCTCTCATTTTAGGTTGAAACTGAACTGAAAGGAGAACGTTTACAAACAGAAATTTACACGGAAGTCCGTTTTCGACGGAGCCCGCAGAATTTTAGCGAAACGTTTCCAATGTTCGTTAACGTGGATGCGGAGACGGACGTTTTGCGCGATTTCGTTTCAGTTTCGTTTCTCGTAACCGTTTCAAGACTCGCGTTTAGCTCGTCCCTCGAGACGCGACTACCGGTTTGTACGAAGATGCAACGAATTTCGTCGAGTAAATAAATGCAGAATGAACGACCCGGTGGGGCTAATGAGGAAAGTTGCGAGAGCCGACAGGTATCTAAGAATATTTCGAGGAAATTAAACTCACCGGAGTTCCTTCGCGCCAACCCTTCCAAGGACCGACTTTAATTCTAATAAGTACATCGAAGAACCAATTAGTAGCGGAATAATTAATTAAGACGATGCTCTTCGCTAGTAACTGTATCAAGTTCAATACTTATTAACTCGAATCAAATCCAATACCCGACGTTTTTGCTTCGAATACTACTCGTAAGGTATTATGGTTTATTCATATTACTTGCCTGGTATTCGATCTTCAGAGACTCGTTTCGAACTTTAGAACGAGTACTTCCAACTTTTGAAAATCTACTTACAGCTACTTGGATATTTTATCGAATCGTATTCCCTTATAGATAGCAATCGAATTACAAAAGTCGGAAAGATATTACCATTTTATAGGATTCTAACAAGTTTAGAAGAATTATTATATCGAATCGTAGACGATAAACGCATTCGATAATAACGACGAGGGAGTTCTATAAATTTCATTTCAACGATTGCGCTTATAACGGTTTGAGAACTGCGTCAACTGTCTGTCTATGCGCAGCTGAAACGCGGAAAACGCTTGAATATTTAAAAGCGATCGGCTACCTGTGTATATATTAATGCTGAACCGATCGTTGTTGATCAGCAGTCAATCGGTAGGTATCGAAGCGATTAGCGCGCGAACCGATGACGCGTTTATCGTTATTGTTGACTGTTATATGCGTTATAATATATAAATAATTGTCCCTGTTAATCAGACTAATTGCTGTGAACGTTCATTACGAAACAACGACCGAGGGAAATGTTTCGCGACTCTCGTAAGCACCTCTATAAGCAACAAAACGATCCTACTAAAATTCTTTTGTCAGAGAATTTATATATTCGACTTCATTCCACGAAATAGTGCTCTACTTTTGGTTTAATATCTTGAAAAAAGACTGACAGATTTAAAAGAACACGCGACGCTGTTATAAAAATGACAGTGACTTCTTCGTCTAAAATTCCGAAGAAGAACGCAAAGTAACTCGGAATATTCGTTCATCAAGTTCTGAAATACCAGCGAAAAGGAGTCGGGGCAAACGATACCTCTGGCCGTGTTTCATTCCAAGGTTGTTCGGTCGAGTCAAAAGTCTCCAGGTCGAAAATCGTCTGAGAACAAGCAGCACTTGGCGCGGGCCGATGCAAATGAGACGTCGAAATAGGGAAAAAGCGAGTTGGGAAGAGAAACGAGCAAACGAGGAGTGCAGGCTTATAAGTTATTCCAGCGAAGCGAGACGCGCTCTTGTGGAATCGTGATGCCGCGAACGACGTCGTCATCCTCGTCGTCGTCGTTGTCGCGGTCGCTTTTCACCCTTCCGGTGAAGGAGATCGCGCGTCGCGTCACTCCACGCAAGATATTTGGCGGTGAAAATCGCTCGTCGTGAGATTTTTCAGCCGGCAACTGAGTCGTCGCAGCCACTGCGCGATATGAAGGGGGGTTACTGGCTAAAAGCGTATAAATTATGGAAATCCGCGTCAGA